GATGCAAAAAAAAATTAAAAAAAATGGAAAATTGGACTTATGCGCATTACGAACAATACCATAAACATACATAGCGAATGAAAATATCCATTAAAATAAAAAAGAGTGCATCCCTAGTTTTGACCATCGGCACTTTGATAGTGCGCGGCGTCTTGTTGTCGGCGTCATCAAAGGTCGGATACTGACCTGTCAAAGAAATTGTGCAGCTATTCGAAAGTACAAGGTCAAGATATACACGTGCTGGCGGCTACTATTGATATCGCATACAATCGTCGTCGACGCGCCACACGCACTACATATGACACCGTTTGATTGCCGCCACAGAGTACATGTTCCAAAGAATAAAATAAGTTTCCGGGTGCTCAGAATGGACCCGAATACATTATGCTAATCTCGCAAGGAATATTATAATTAGATAATGGTAAGGATAGGTAGATATCATAATAATTTATTCTAGTAAGTAATTATTCTAATATTAACTATATGGGTTTATAATATGTAATTACTTACTATTATTATTACCTAATAGATAAACATGTTCAATAAGTTCACTGCATATCTCGACTTTTGGAAGTATGTGTTTTTAAAACACAAAGTGCTCGAATATGTCGTCACCCATTTGATAAATATTCTAGACACTTTTAAAACACTTGAAATGTATAAAAATGGATCTGGACCTTGTCTTCAAGTCTTAGTTATTAACAAGTTGGAGGAGTACCTAAGTAAACCTAGAGTCGCCAGCTCGGAAGACATTTTAGAGTGTTCAACTTCAATACCTGCTGAGAGATTATTTTCTAAAGCATCATTAGTAATTAGAAAACGTAGACATAGATTAAGTGATGAATCAGCCAGATGGTTATTTTGTATTAATGCTTAGTCAAATAATTAATATAAGGTAACAGTAACGTCAAAACTATTGTGTACTGTGAAGTAATTTAATTTGTATCGTATTGTATGCCTTAAGCGAAAGCGCAAGGTATGTTCTACTATCGCCTAAAAATGAAGATTCCAACGTTTTATCGAATGAAATCGTATTTAGCAATCATATTATACATATAAATGATATAAAAAGCGCATTGTTAGAAAGATAAATGATTTTTGAACTTATTAATATTTTTTTTAAATTGATTAATTGCTATTTTTAAATAAAAAAAGGGGTTTTAGTGGCTTATGGTGTGGATTTATCAAGTCCGCAAGGCTTGTAAGCACTATATCTTTTGAAAATATCGTCAACTCTATCTATTTTTTTAACCTCTTCATCTATCATGTGGGAAGCCACTGAATGTAAATGGCGGTGTAATTTGGTTTTGTTTAGCTATAATTAAATTTTTTCGGCTCCAAAGTGGCGAAATTTTCGTTGATTTCTTCCTTCTTCCTTCTATGTAAATAATTTCTGTAAATAGGCGGAAGCCGCACTCTGAGCTACAGTCACAGAGTACTTTACTCACTCACACTCACTCAGTTCGGCGTCAGTCGCCGTCGTGAGTGGACATTGTTTCGGTTGTTTACAAAGGCTCAAAAAGATCGCTGTACAAATACACAATATTCGAATAACCAAATTTCTTAAATACTTGATAATAATAATAATGACAGATTTTTTTTATTACAATATTTTAAAAGCACAGAATAAATAATAGTAGTACGTACTAAAAGTAAGTAGTATCAATTTTGTTATGGGTGATATTTTCATGGTTTTCAAGAGAGTTGAAGCCGATAGGGTTGTCAAAATGTAAATCCAAGATGGGGGCCGCAATAGGTATCAATTATTTCATCATGGGAGTCATTTTCATGGTTTTGGAGGGTACTGGAGCCGATAGTGCTGTCGAAATGTAAATCCAATGTGGCGGCTGCAATAGGTATAAATATTTTCATCATGGGTGTCATTTTCATGGTTTTCGAGGGTATTGAAGCCGATAGTGCTGTCGAAATGTAAATCCAAGATGGCGGCTGCAATAGATATTAATTTTTTCATCTCGGGTGTCATTTTCATGGTTTTCGAGGGTATTGAAACCGATAGTGCTGTCGAAATGTAAATCCAAGATGGCGGCTGCAATAGGTATAATTTTTTTCATCTTTTGTGTCATTTCCATTGTTTTCGAGAGAGTTGAAGCCGATAGGGTTGTCGAAATGTAAATCCAAGATGGCGGCTGCAATAGATATCAATTTTTTCATCATGGGTGTCATTCTCATGGTTTTCGCGGGTGTTGAAGCCGATAGTGCTGTCGAAATGTAAATCCAAGATGGCGGCTGCAATAGGTATCAATTGTTTCATCTTGGGTGTCATTTTCATGGTTTTCGAGAGAGTTGAAGCCGATAGGGTTGTCGAAATGTAAATCCAAGATGGCGTCTGCAATAGATATCAATTTTTTCATCATGGGTGTCATTTTCATGGTTTTCGAGGGTGTTGAAGCCGATAGTGCTGTCGAAATGTAACAATGTAGCGGCTGCAATAGGTATTAATGTTTTCATCAAGGGTGTCATTTTCATGGGTTTCGAGGGTGTTGAAGCCGATAGTGCTGTCGAAATGTAAATCCAAGATGGCGGCTGCAGTAGGTACCAATTTTTTCATCATGGGTGTCATTTTCATGGGTTTCGAGGGTGTTGAAGCCAATAGTGCTGTCGAAATGTAAATCCAAGATGGCGGCTGAAGTAGGTACTAATTTTTTCATCATGGGTGTCATTTTCATGGTTTTCGAGGGTGTTGAAACCGATAGTGCTGTCGAAATGTAACAATGTAGCGGCTGCAATAGGTATTAATGTTTTCATCATGGGTGTCATTTTCATGGGTTTCGAGAGTGTTGAATCCGATAGTGCTGTCGAAATGTAAATCCAAGATGGCGGTTGAAGTAGGTACCAATTTTTTCATCATGGGTGTCATTTTCATGGATTTCGAGGGTGTTGAAGCCGATAGTGCTGTCGAAATGTAAATCCAAGATGGCGGCTGAAGTAGGTACCAATTTTTTCACCATGGGTGTCATTTTCATGATTTTCGGGGGTGTTGAAGCCGATAGTGCTGTCGAAATGTATTTAAACTACTTTAAAAATTCCGTATAATGTAATAATATTATGTTATACGTAATATAATATAAATATATAATATAATATAATGTAAATAAATATCATGTTATACGTAATTTTTTTAATGCGCTTAAGGCATGCCCAATTGGATTTACCAATTTTTTATTTTATTTTTTATTTAAATAAATGGTATATTGCATAACTCTTTTAAATTTTATTCCATTCATATATAGTGAGGTTCCATCAATCTCTTTCTAGACAGATAATGTTCTTTAAAATACAGTGAAGTTATTGCCATTAATTTGTTTTTATATGTTTAACCATGTTTTAGCACATGTAAGCTTATTAAATGTAAACGTTTATTAAGAAACAGACTGACGCCCGTAGCCGTGGGACACGGTAGATAGCTCAGTTGGTTAGAGCATCGGCACGGATAGTTTAGGTCGTGAGTTCAAACCCCACCCGGTGTCAGTTGATTTTTCGAATTTCTCATTAAATGTTTAGACATTTATTAATTTGGTTGGTCTTTACTATGGCTATGTTAATTCAAGCTCAATATGTACCTACTCTGTTAAGTTGTTCTAAGATCTAAAGTAACGTTTAATAAATAGTAATAGACTAATAGGTCATTGCGAGACTCTTGATGCAAGACCAAGACGACCAACACCAAGACTGGTAGCGCAATACCAAGACCAAGACCAAGACCAGGTGTATTGGCGCAAGACCAAGACCAAGACTCGTCTTGTTCTTGCATTTGGGCAACACTACCTAAAATAACGGTATTATCATAAAGCGGAGTCATATTCACAAGTTTTTCTTCTAAAGAAGAAAAATAATTTATGTTGCCAGAAGGGAAATAATAGACTCCAAGCAAAGACCTAGTATGGTTAATATTAATTTCAATAAATAAATGTTCAGCAAAATGTGTGTACATATTAGAAGTATGATCAACTGTTTTATAAGAAATGTCAGCTTTCAAATAAATTGCCATTCAACCCTGTCATTACGTTGGAAACCAGGAAGACAATACTGTACAAACGGAAGTGCAGCTTTAGAAAATTTTCAGAAACAGGGACTTCGACATATTTAGAATATTTAGAATATAAGGTTGATAAAAGATCAGAATTGAATAAGCTTTGAGTGTGAATATGAACTATATTCAGATTGTTACTATAATTAACTTAAATTCCATAGAGTATTTCCAAAAGATATCGATAAATATTTTAAAACTATTGATGTTAAGAAAACGGCAGACTTCTAGAGGATTTCCGTTGAAGTATTTGGGTATATAATAGCACCTTATCTAGCCACTATTTTAATACAATTGTCAATTCTGGTGTTTTTTTTTTTATATAACAAAACATTAGACCCCGTCAATTTTAGACCAATTTCTGTTTTTAGTAAAATTTAGTAACATTTTTGAAAAAATCATGTCAGATCAGATATTAGGTTTATTTTAAATGAAATAAATTGCTTATACAAAAAAGACCCATCATCATCATTATCATTACAGCTCTTTACGAATATACTTCTGAACGTAAACCTCCACCAAGGAAAGCCACAAAACACGGTCACCACCTGCATCCATGGACTTCATGCATAACTTATAGATGCGCCTCCATCTACACTCTCCTTACCGGTACGTGGCTGCCACTCGAACGACAAGAGGAGGGTAAAGAACCTATCTTCTGCAACCCAATGTCACTTCGGCTTACTGACCCGTTGGACTGTATCATATAAAGACCTATAAGTAGCTAAAAGTACATTGTTTTAATTAAAACAGAAGAAAATTAAAGTTGTGTAAACACATTAAAATTAGACAATAGAAAATAGGCATCACGATTAAAATGTTTAACATTTTAATTATAAGTCTCGGTAATTGGAATAAAATGAATATTTATTTTAACTGCATATCAATATGCTGTACTTAACGCGTATCTCCATGTATTTAGTTTAGTTTATTTTTAAAGTAAGATAGTAACATGTGGTGTTTGATTGCTATTAGTTTCTTTACCTGGAAAATTTCTATAGCTTCAAGTGAGTTTTAACGTATTCGATGAATAACAAAATATTTTTTTTATTTTTCAAATCCTACATACCTATTATAATATATTAATACTTAAGTTGACATTTTGGTTTTAGATTTTACTCATTATTTTTCGACGTTAGAAAAATATATAATTTTCTCAGGGATAACACCTATCTAGAAAAACTTATCATTTAAAAAATTATCTAAGTACAAAATTTCATCCAAATCGTTCTGTTCATCGTCTGTTCCTGAGAAACCGATTATAATATTATGCACTTGACAAACCTTTTAGTACAGTTTTACGCACATTATGATGCCATCCAGTTTTAGACTTTGTTTATTTTACATTAGATTTTTTATCTTCATTTTTTTTAATTCTTAAAATATTTTTTTGGCTCTGTGTATCAAGAAAAAACTGTATTCTGCGTCAAATACCTCTATTTTATTAACGTTTCATTTACTGCAATATCTTTATAGGTCACATTGCATTTTTTTATGATGATATATTGGTTCATTTTAAACACAGCTTAATCTCAAAATTTAAGCCCAGAATCTTCAAAAAAAAACAACTAACCTCTGAACTAGTATCCCTGAAATTTGATTATCTTTATATATAAAAATTACGTGTTATTTGTCCGCGATGAACTCCTAAACTACTAAACTGATTTCAATGAAATTATGCACACTGTGTGCAGTTTGGTCTAACTTGAGAGATAGGATACTTTTTATCCCTATAAGTGACCCTCAATATTTTTATTACGAATTTAAGAATTTTTATAGAACACAGGGTCGACGGAGAGGGCAGAACAACGTCTGCCTGGTCAGCTAGTTTTGTAATATGTAATATTTCAAGATGTTTGTAGCATTATTTTGTGTGTACTTAACTTTTTCTTTTTATTTTATAAAATAAAGATGATAAACGAGCACACCGTCCATCTGGTGGTAAGTGAATGCTGTGGCCCATAGACATTTTCGTCTGTCTTCTATTTAGAATCAAAATGCAGATGCGTCTGCACTAAAATTATTTCCGGTTCACTATACTCACCATACAAAACACAGCATCATTAAACTGCTATTTCACGCTATATTCCGTGAGAGCGTGGTCAGTACCAACTCGAGCCAACCTATCCGTGCTATAACCATAATATAGCTGCAACATGGCTCTACCACGTAAAAAACCTGCACCTCTGCATCTGCACCTGTTTCTGAACATTTTTGTCATACGCGTACAAATTCTATCATACGATTAACTGATAAACCAGTAGATTTTGATACTCCGGCGCAGTCACTTTTGTTTATGACTAGTGACCCGCCCTGGCTTCACCTGGGAAGGATTTATTAATGTTACGCTTTTTAGATTTAAGATAATTATATTATATCTAATTATCTTTATATGGATAAATATACATAATTATCTATATATATTTTTTTCCAAAACACACCTCCAAGTTTTTCGGATAAAATATAAACTAGATCACCCCTGGCATTACTCTTTATCTGTTCAACAAGGCTCATGCAGCCATTTCGAAGATTATCCCGAACAGGCAGACAGATAGGCAGACAAAAGTTTTAAAAATGATTGTTTATGTCTTAATGAGAAGAAATAATATAAAGCAGTTAATTCGATAGTACAGACAGACCTTTCAATTTTATGTATATGTATAGATCATAGAATTTACCGTCCATATCACTCATGTATGAGGGCTGCACTAAAAGTATCGGGAATGGAATATTTCCACTGTTCCTGTCATATTAAATTTTTTTAATTGAAAAGTCCTTGGTTTTAAATATCGAATACCATTTATTTATTTAAAAAAAGATTCTCGGTCTTGTCACAAGGTTTTGTCAAACTTGTTTAGTCGTTGAGAAAATGGAATTGACTCGAGAAAATTCAAGAGCGATGATTTGTTATGACTTTCGAAGTGGTTTAACACAAAAACAGTGTGTTGACCGGATGATTTCCGCATTTGGTGATGAAGCCCCATCCAAAACCACAATTTATCGCTAGTTTGCTGAATTTCAACGTGGACGTGTCAAGCTCAGTGATGATCCCCGTCAAGGTCGTCCAAAAACTGCAGTCACCCAAGAAAACGTTGATGCTGTGCGTAAGCTGATTGAGGAAGATCGACATGTGACATACCGCGAAATTCAGGCAACTTAAGACATTAAGGCATGAGTCATGTTACGGCCTACAAGTCAAATACAAATAATCTTGCATGAACAATTAGGTGTAAAAAAGTTGTTTTCCCGATGGATACCGAATTCGCTCTGTGAAGAGCAAAAAGCGGCTCGCATTACTTGGTGCGTCAGAACTCTCGAAAGATTCCACGCAGGATTCTCAAATGCTGTATACAACATCGTATTAGGTGACTAATCCTGGATATACACGTACGAACCCGAAACAAAAAACCAGTCACGAGTTTGGGTGTTCGAAAATGAGTTAAAGCCAACAAAAATTGTTCGTTCACGGAGTATTGCAAAAAAAATGGTGGCCACGTTTGTTTCCAAAACCGGCCATGTTATGACTATTCCTCTTGAGGGACAAAGAACGGTTAATGCAGAATGGTATTCTAGCATTTGTTTGCCACAGGTCGTTTCTGAACTCCGTAAAGAGAACTGCAACCACCGCATCATCCTCCATCACGACTACGCGAGTTCTCACACCGCACACAGAACAAAAGAGTTTTTAGAGCAAGAAAACATAGAATTATTAGACCATCCGCCGTAGAGCCCGGACTTAAGCCCTAATGATTTCTATACTTTCCCTAAAATAAAGAATAAATTGCGTGGACAGAGATTTTCATCACATGACGAAGCTGTGGACGCCTGTGGTTGCTTCAATGATTGGTTCCATCATATGGAAAAATGTGTCAAATTTCGCGGAGAATACTTCGAAAAGCAATAAATACATTTTTAAATAGTAATGTTGTGTCACTTCCTTGATTCCCGAAAATTTCTGTGCCGTATAATATGATTGCTAGATACGATTTCATTCGATAAAACGTTGGAATCTTCATTTATAGGCGATAGTAGAACATAGCTTGCGCTTTACAATGATACAAATTTAATTACTTCACAGTACATAATAGCTTTGACGTTACTGGTTCCATCGTATGGAAAATGTATCAAATTTCGCGGAGAATACTTCGAAAAGCAATAAATACATTTTTAAATAGTAATGTTGTGTCACTTCCTTGATTCCCGTAATTTTCAGTGCCGCCCTCGTATAACAATAATCTCCTCCAGACCGAATTTCGGTCACGGCGGCCAGTCTTAACAGATTTTAAGTAAAGTCATGCTGATGCTATATTATAGTAGTAGCAAGAATGGATCCTCGACCGGGGAAGGGCGTTCACAGAAAACCAGCTTAAAATAGCAACTTCTATGTTTCATATGGTGAATGTAGAGAACCGGAGACACTTTTTACTGGAAACGAAGCATTCCATCTATACATGTAGATATCTATGGGCCACAAGCATCCAGTTACCATCAGGAAGACTGAGTGCTGGCTTGTCACTCGAATTCTATGAAAAAAATTGATTCGCCGTCTTTGGAGGACAACATTGCATAGGTGCACTCGCTATTTCGTCACTCTTATGGTTCAATTCAATGGCAATTCGACACGGCCGACACGACTCTTTTGTTTTCCGAAGCACGGGGGCGAAACACCGCCATCTTCCTGACTTCGGGCTACTATTGATAATTACTTGGCAAAAAACCCAGTAACTGAATTTGGTTGGACCCAGGATCCCATGGACAGCATCCACGTTTAAGACAACTACATCAACGAAGCAGTCAATATATGACATAAATTAATTGTTATTAAATGTAAAATAACCACACTTTCTGTTTGGGACAAATTGAAGAAGCTATCACACATGTACATATAGCATTATATACATGTATGAAAGCTTATTACGCATGCAACGCCAGGTAATTGTAACCTACAGGTGTAGTAATAAAAACAGAGGGAACCTGTTAGCATTATAGAGCAATAGAGTACTAGCACTTTTATTTCTGTATTAAAATTAAATGTTTTTAACAAAAATAAAAGTTTCGTTAATATAAAATATATTAAGTAGGATGTGCTTCACTCCTTTATCCACCACGGCCTATCAAAATTCCATAGTCATAGGATGGACATTTGCCATAGTTTTCCTGTTAGTCCTCTGTCGCCTTTCACAACAGCCACTAAACGATAGTGGGTAGTGAATATTCTTACTCCGCCACTACACAGTTGCTTTACTGTTTTACTACTTCAAAATTGAGAAGAAGCCACCTATTAGTAGTAAAACCCTTACTTAAAATTTCCTTTGTCATTTAATAATGCTTTACTAAAAATTTCCTTCTTTGTTTTATCTTAGGAATAACACAATCAGAAAAAAAATCAATATTTGACAAAATCGCTTCAGTTAATGAAACGACGGAAGAAGCAGTTGGGAGAATAGTCGGCGGCCGCTATGCTACATGTGAGGAGTTTCCTCACCAAGTCAGCTTAGTTATAAATAACTCTTTTTTCTGCGGTGGATTTATCGTCAGTAAGAGATTCATTTTGACGGCTGCCCACTGTGTAAAAAAGTATGTAATTTAATAACAGACTTTCACTTCTTCGTAAAAAACCTCTGTCCTGGGAAGAACCAGCAAGAAACTTAGCGGGACTTTTTTTTTAACTAAAATAAATTTACAATATATAATTTTATACAATTGGTATGAAAACACTTAGAAATAGCATGATAGCGATCACCTCATTCCAAGGGGTAATCAACAATGTACTCTTTAGTAGTATAGTAACCTACAAGAAACAATTTTCGCTTAATAAAAATTTTAACTTTTGATAAATAAGTAGAGTAACTAGTATGACTAATTGCAAATGAGCCTAGTATTTACAGAAGCTTCATCACCGATATTTATTTTTGTACACATATGTAAATTTGTGTACATATACTGAGAGGCCAAAGTTAATATACCTATTTCTATAAATTTTTCTCTAAGAGATTCCTTCGGACCTAAATTATAAATTGCTGTTACGGCTCTCATCTATAAAACAAAGATAGTTTCAATGTCAGTCGCATTACCCCATAGCAAGATTCCATATGACATTATACTAGGAGGTGGCGCTACTTGTCACGGTTAACATCGAGCTCCGATTTAAAGTTATTAAAATTAACAAATAGTGATCTAAATACAGTAAAATAGTGCGTTCCATATAAAAATAGTTACAGTAGAGCGGTGGAAATGTTATCCCAGTGAAAACCAGTGTATATTGTGTGAAAATCAATCAGTATTTATAAGACGAATAACACCGTAATAAAACTAAGAAGTATAAAAGCTTTTAGATCTCTACGGCGGCTAACCGCTAAGTTAGCGGTTAACCACCATAGAATCTATATCACCTGAGGATGCCTCGTGTAGAGGCGAAACACGTGTCGTATTATCGTCAGTGGTGTGTCTTGCCTAGTGTAGTGGTGTTGGGAGTAGCGTTGCTGGGATTAGTGGTGACGGGGATAGTACACGCAATTGAGGGAGGGCGGGAGGTGCTCTTCATACTAGGTAAGACACATCATTTTATTTTATAACGCGGATATTTCCGAAGTAAATTTTTCTAAAAGCTTTTATATAATTGATTTCCGCAAAGTAACGCCTGATTCTATTAATTAAACTAAGAAGTGTTCAAGTGCAAGTGAATTAATATGAGCTCCAATCTAGTTTTTCATAACGTAAGGGAAAACTAACCCATAAAAACTTGAATTTGCTATTTTTACACAACTGGGGAAACGTTTGCTGTTTAAATTTTAAACACAAGTCAGCTGACCAATCCACTGATTTTATCTCCCCAAAGTGAATTAGGTGGCGTTGCAAATCGCCATCTACCGGAAAAGCAATGGACTGAATGAAATGGAATGAATTCAACGGTTGATTGACCACGATCTTCTCGTCAGTCCTCAGGGTGCGTGCGTTGTACGTTGCCAGGTCGAGTCGTCTAAGGTGGCAACCGAACCTCCACCGCAGATTCTTAGCACCCCCTGCCCCGCCGTTACCATGGTCGCCACCGTAGCCAGGAATAGCGGGGCCGCCGGGGACTGGGGGCCGTCTGTTTGTTGCTTTAATCATTGGGGGGGTATTTGCCATAGTTGCCACGCTTGGCGAGCGGGTTGGCAACCGCAGTTTTTTTATTGTAATTTTGGCTATTATCAGGAAGATGCTGCTGCCCATCTCCTGCCTGTTTCCCTTTGTCGCCTTTTACGACACCCATGGGAGGATATGGGGTAGTGGATATTCTTGACCGCCACTACACGGCAATAGTTGAGATAAAATATTTATGGACATTTAATGTAAAATTAAATGTGTGTGTATTATTTAGTTTGACATTTAAATAAATTTATTAATAATAATGTATAGATTATGTACTGTAAATATTATAATTTAATGTAATTCTATATTAATTAATATTTAAACCCCGTCTTAATATGTCACATGCTCTGGAAATATATTGTAACTATTTTATACTTTGTGACATGCTATAAATGAATTATGAATTATGAGAATAACGAAAATAAACTAATCTCTCTGTTTCAACACCTGTAAGGCCTCTGATCTTTTTACAGCATATGCTACTTAGCTGAATTTGCTAGCTAGTTAAGATATATGAGGGCCCCATTGAAGCTTCACGTCAACTGTAATTCCGAGAAAAACAGTTGATTCAACAGTGCTTAACTCTTCCCCATTTAAAAGCATACTGATAGTGAATTTAATACATTTCATTTTATTACCGATCCGAAGCAAATTGTTGACGTTAAACCAGGGTACTTCTTTAGATATAGCATTATTCACTACGTCATATTTTAATAATTATCTTTTAATTCAGAAAATCAACGAAGTATCATCAACAAATAAAACTATATCATGGTTAATCTATACCAAAAAAGATGAGTCATTAATGTATCCTAAGAAAAGGAAGGGGCCAAGAATCAAGCCCTGAGGAACACCCGTAGATACTACCGATCCGGAAGAACTACTCCCTTTAATCACAATTGTTTGTGTTCTTTTATTTAAATATATACAAGCTATTCAAAATTGTTTATTGATATTAAGTAGAAATACATAGAATTTGTAACGTCTTTGTAAGTATTATCATTTTAAAGACCTTGTGGCCTTACGACTTTTGCACGTGGTTTAGAAAACTTAGAACTACGTATGAAATATATTCAGAGACAGCCACTTTGCATAAAATTGTGCACTACCAATTTATATCATAGTAAACAGAGTGCAATATACATTATCACCATTTCTTCGTCATATTTTGACGAAATGCGAGTGCTCTCTTTGTTCCTGTATCAACGCATTATGAGGTTTGCAACGAGCTAGCAACGCCACGTTGGATTTGGTTGGGTACCCATCATGATTCATCAAGTAAAACTGTTCAAGTAAATTTTTATTTTAAGCAATCATCGAAAGTATTTTAGCTTGGCAAAGTGCAATATTAGAGCTAATGAAAACAATCAGGTCTAACTTCTCTAAAGATTCATCTAGTAGAAAAACTGACGAATAATTAGAAAATAAAATAGCTGCATTAGGCAAGCTTTGGGTGGAATTTCAGAACAATAATCATATTTTATCAGACTACGAGGATGAAAGTAGGCAATATTTAACAGAAAATATATTCGAGAAAACAAAAGATTCGTATCGGTTTTTATCGAAAAGAAGACAAGGTATCTCTTAGAGATACCTTGAGAGATACCTTGTCTTCTTTTCGATAAAACTTTTCAATGTAGACATTAGCGAAAAGTGGAAATCGGAGGATAAGATTCACAGCATTCAGTTGCGATGAAATATTTAGACTGCCTTCACCTAGAGATCGACGATATTATTCAGGGTGGAGGTTTAGCAAATGAAGAGGAGTATTTTTCATATGAGTAGGAATTTAAGGAAATTCAACGAGCATTGAATAGAAAACAACCATCAACAGTTCATACCTAACAATCGAATTCACTTCTTAAGATCCCACCGAGCACCGGAAGATATGCATCCTGGCCAACTTTCTTCGACCTTTTCAGCGAAGCATAGAAAATGCAACATTTGAAAGGGAAGGATAATGGTGAAGAGGAGTGACTTTTTTTATAGGATAAGGGTGAAAAACGAGCACACATTCCACCTGATGGTAAGTGGTTGCTGCGGCCCATAGACATCTACATCTATCCTCGTTTGCGAATCAAAATGCAGATGCGTTGTCACCCGTGAGGACTAAGATGGAATGCCTCATTCCCAGTAAAAAGGGCCTCCGGCCACCTGCACACACCAAGCGAAACGCAGAGGTAAGCCTCTACTTCACGCTGGTATTCTGTGAGGTCGTGGTACCACCCCGGTTCGAGCTGGCCCATCCGTGCGACAGCAAAAGCTGCCGCGTGGCTCTACCACTGTTACTGATCCAGCGCCTCTATATATCAACGGAAAATTATGAGACGGCATGAGAGATTCTGGTGTACAGGTACAATAATAAGCGTCTTCTTTTTTATAATCATGTTGAAATCCTTCTGAATCTACCATCTATTGAAAAACAATCTGCTTATGAAACTAAGCGGTTACAAAATTGGCAAATTTGAATTCACTTATAGATGACCAATTATTATTGCCATATATTTAATGGATTACTTAGAGTTGGAAGTAGACTTAACAACGCGGAAATAACCTGGCCTTCCAAATAGCTCACCAAATTTATCATTCAAACATCTCATAATCCTATCAAATCAAAGTTGACTCACCAAACTTATCATAAATCAGGCGCACGCTGCAACGCTGCACGGTGGGACTAGGCTCACTTTATATTACATTAAAGAAAAATATTGGGTTGTTAGTGGAACGCGTACCGTGAAGAAACAACTTCGACAACTTCGACACTAAATGTCGCCGTTTCAATCAAAACAAGTATCTACCTATAATGGCTGATATACCACAACCTAGAGTCGTTCCGTCGAGATCTTTTACGCATACGGGTGTCAATTTCACCGGGAATGTGGAACTGAAGATTAGTAAGTGTCGTTCTATATGCAGTTCAAAGGAATATTTTGCAATTTCCGTTTGTTTCTGCAGTAAATCAGTTAATTTAGTGCTAGGTAATACTGAAGTACTTACTTCAGCGCCCTGAGCAGCGTTCCAACAATTCTGTACTCGTCGAGAGGTTTCCAGTTACATATATATCGGTAATGGGACAAACTTTTTAGCTGCCATCAGAATTTTAACGCGGGTATATTAGGATATCAAGGAAATCATCAACAAGGACTTTTTGGCAATATTACAAATATGGATGTTAGCTGACATTTTAACGCTCCTATCCAAATCCAGCCTATCCAAATGTTGGATATTTATGGAAAGCCACCGTGAAGAGTCCCTAGTTCTATATCAAAAGAGTCACATGAGGTCAAAAATTGACCCTCGAAGAATTTAGCATCCTATTGCATTAGGTGTAAGCATGTCTTATTTCTCGGCCTCTTTGTTCTTTAACCGAAAATCTCTACGACACTTCACTGATAGGTGGTCCATTATTATCAAGGCCAAAAAATATCGTTTTTTATAGAATAAGG